GTGTGGCCTGTCTGATCACAACACAAATATTCGTCCTCAGACCCTGTGGATCTTCTTCGCCCTTAAGGAGCTTTAGAGCTCTCTGTTCGTTTTATTAATCCTGTTCAGCTCTGTCTGTGTGTGGGGGCACTGTAATGTAGGTAGGCTATTAAGTACAGTAACAGTGAACGATCTATATATAGGATGCGTGTTGCTTTTGGCTGAGCTCACCACAGGCTCGCTGAATGGATGGCGGAGATTTAGACAAGCGTTTAATTAAGGTTTGCTGCAGAACGCACTGCACTCAGGAGATTAGCAGACTCCCTCTGCGACTACATTTGTGTTCACATTGGCGGAGGATGCTGACAGATTGCTACGGTTTGTGTGTCGCAACAAACAAAAGTTACATCCACACAAATAGGTCTGCTACACACAGGACGTGACGACATGAGATATCCATTCTTGTAGTTATTAAGAAATTACAAGAATGTGTGTGCTTGTCTTTTCAGGGTCACTTGCAATTTTTCAGAATATGATTAGCTCATATCTTAGACTCTTAAGCACTTGTTTTGATTTTAAAAATAAACAAGTATGCACAGCTATGCTCTGGATGTGGCAGCAACACAATTTAAGGCTCGTAAACCAAATTTAGTTTGGTTTAAAATGAAACATTGCTTTTCTTATAAAAGGGGCTTTTGTTATAGTTCATATGAAAGTTCTTTCCCAGCTATTCATATATGAAGCAGTGTTCTGAATGCTGATTGGCTGTTCTTAGAATGATGCTTTGATGCCTAAAGACAGGCAGTGCATGGCAGAGATTGTTGTTGTGTGGTCACCATGGTGACCAAGGGCCCTGTGAAGGTTGTGGGTTGTTTTCTAGATGAAACATCTACTACATACGATTCACCTCCTAGACTATTGTTTACTTATTGTTTAAAGGGGTCATATGGCGTTGCTAAAAAGAACATTATTTTGTGTATTTGGTGTAATGAAATGTGTTTATGCGGTTTAAGGTTCAAAAAACACATTATTTTCCACATACTGTACATTATTGTTTCTCCTCTATGCCCCGCCTTTCTGAAACGCGTCGATTTTTACAAAACTCATCGGTCTGAAAAGCGAGGTGTACGCTGATTGGCCAGCTATCCAGTGCGTTATGATTGGCCGAATACCTCAAGCGTGAGACGGAAATGTTACGCCCCTCACCATACTAGGGCTGGGTATCGTTAAAAATTTTTCGATATCGATACCGATACCTTGACTTCGATACCGGTTCCTGAATG